GTATTCCACAAGATGTTGCTTCTCCCTTCCGCTCGTTCTGCAGTCAACTAAATTGCAGTAAAACAAATAAAAAACAAAAACATTCATACCGCAGAAAATAAAATTCCCCAGGCATAATTCATTTTTTTTTTCTTTCAACTAAAAACTTGGCAACATTGTAATTCGAATGCAATCTTCCCGGCAACTTATGCGCTTGTCCAAATGCTCCAATAATTAAAAAAAAATGCACTCCAATTTTCAAAAAAGCCTAATAATTGGCGCAACTCCGTGGATTCGAATAATTAGCGCCAGCAATTAACTCGTGGCTCATGTTTCCAGATGATTTCCGAGTGCTCTGTGTATTTTTGTGAAATCGTTTTTAGAATTTTTATTACTTTTACAATTCGCTATTTTCAGCGCCATCTCCCAAATATTTCCACCATTGGGACGCGTGAAACTCCGGCATAAATATTATATTTGGGGTTATGATGTTATTTAAACAATTGTAGATTTTCACGTGAGATCTACTGGTATTGTTTTATTTATATAATCGATTGTGTGTTCATTATAAATTTGATTTTTGCGGTATGATAGGAATTTCTCGGTGATATTTTGGTGTGTGAAGTGAGAAAACATGAAATTAGTTAAACCGAATTGGGTTACCCACGATGGTAAGAGTTTCCAGCAATTTTCTTTTTATAATAATAATTGACAATAATTTAAGGAAACACTTGATTTTCTGGAATGCAGATAATACCACTCGCAATAAATCCAGACAAGATTTTTTACTTTCAAAAAAAAAACCTTGGAAATGAGGCAAGACTCATTTTATTTCGATGTTGATTATCCGAGAGAGTCGGATTTGTCCTGGGGATTGAATTTTTAATACAGAGTTCCATTATTTTTTTTCAGAGTATCCCATATTCTCAGTGGATATTCATCCGGATGGCAAGAGATTTGCCACTGGAGGCCAAGGCAAGTATGAAAAAAATTTTCTCTCCCATTCCCCAGATTATGAATTATATGTTGATGAACAGGGGGAGATTCTGGAAGGGTTGTCATCTGGAACATGGAGCCAATAAGGAATGAAGGTGCTGAGCTGGACCAGAACGTACCAAAGATGCTGTGCCAGCTTGACAATCATATCGGTATTTATTATTCCATTAATTAAAAATTTATTCACAATTTCTCACATCAGCTGACTATCTAATACCCTCTAAATTATGTCCAGCCTGTGTAAACTGCGTCCGATGGAGTGCCAATGGTCTCCTGGCATCAGGAGGTGACGACAAGATCATAATGATCTGGAGACAAACAGGAAGTGGTGGTGGTAGTACAATTTTCGGTGGTAAAGCTAGTGTTGAGAACTGGAAATGCATTGCAACACTGAGGTGTCATGAGGGTGACGTTCTAGATTTGGCATGGGCACCCCACAGTCCCTGGTTGGCATCAGCATCGGTTGATAACAGCGTGATTGTCTGGGATGCATCAAAATTTCCAGCAATTGTTGCTATATTGAAAGGACACACTGGTCTCGTCAAGGGAATCACCTGGGACCCAGTGGGAAAGTATCTGGCATCACAATCAGATGACAAAACCCTCAGGGTGTGGAGAACAACTGACTGGGGAGAGGCAACACTCATTACTGAACCCTTTGAGGATTGTGGTGGGACTACACACGTCTTGAGACTATCCTGGAGTCCTGATGGACAGTATCTGGTGTCGGCTCATGCTATGAATGGCGGAGGGCCAACTGCTCAGATAATTGAGAGAGATGGATGGACGCAGGATAAGGATTTTGTTGGGCACAGGAAAGCTGTGACCTGCGTGAGATTTAATGGAAATATACTGAAGAAGAAGCAGCCAGGTTCATCGAAACCCCAGCAGTATTGTTGTGTAGCTATTGGATCGCGTGATCGATCTCTCTCTGTGTGGCTAACGTCACTGAAGAGGCCCCTGATTGTCATCCACGATTTGTTCACTCATTCTGTTCTAGATCTCAGCTGGTCACCCTGTGGTTTCAGGCTGGCTGCCTGCTCCTGGGATGGAAGTGTAGCTTTCGTTGAGTTTACACAGCAGGAGCTGGGCCAGCCCCTCGATCCAGCTGAACAGTGCTCCCTCCATGAACGATTGTATGGTAAATCCCTGTCCTCTCAGGGTGGTTGTACAGTCATGGAGGCACCTCTCCTTCTCAACATGAAACCACCAACATCCAGTATGTCACCAGTTGCTAATGCGACTACAGCTCAACCTGTTGTCAATGGAATCAATACACCTTCTACTGCACCCACAACTCCTGTCAAGGGACCCATCAACAAGCAGATCGAAACGAGAACGTCTGATGGAAGGAGAAGAATAACACCGATGTTCATACCACCACCAGCTGATTCCATGGACACAACGATTCAGAATGAAACTCCAACGTTTAAGAACAGTCCAACATTCTCCAGTACTTCTCAAACGAAATCATCGATTATAATTGAAAAACGAGACGATGTTGTGGCGCCAAATGTCACAACGACCTCCTCCTCAGTTCCCTCGGTGGCAGGACCGTCCTTGACTCTCAAAAAACGTGACCAGACGACCCCTAGACCCCATCATCATCATCACCACCACTCGTCCCAGAGTAAGAAGCCCAAACTCCTGGAGAGAGTGGGTGGATATGTTCTTCCAGCACTGAAACCCGTGATATCGATGTCTCAGCAGGCAGCCCATTACGCTGTCACAGTGACGAATAATCAGGGCTTGGCACACCTTCAAATTTTTCGTGGAACTGACTCTGAACCCACGTGGGATCTGTATCTGGGATACAGTGCAGTTGCTCTTACTGTATCAGCAGCAGTGATTGCCATTGGTCTGGAGGATGGGAGTGTACATACATTCGATCCATCGAAGGGCTGCAGGTCAGCTCCACCCCTAGCTCCACCAGCACCTCTCGCCCGAGTTCATGCCGTTGGCAATGCTGTTATGGTGATATCCTGTTGTGGTGCTGTCAGGGTGTGGGAAATTGGGAGTGCCTGTAAATTAATTGTATCAACCTCTGCCAGTCATCTCTGTGCCGCTGGTGCATCTCTCATATCCTGCACCATCTACAATGGAATGCCTCATCTCGGATTCACCAATGCAAGAGCGTACGTCTATAATAAGGAGATGGGCACTTGGCTACTGGTGGGTGACAGTCAGGATCCTGTCTGGAGATGGTCAGCTCAAAGTGCCTCCACTGTGTTCGGGGGTCGAGCACCTCGGGGACCTCTGTCTTCTCTTCAGGAGGGACTCAATAAAACCGGAAGTGGTACCATGCCAACACCACGACCTCCACACAATGGACCCAGTGTTGTTTCTTATCTCGAGCAACAAATTCTTGCTGCTAAGGCACTGGGAAGTCTTCAGGAGTACATTCACTGGTTCATGGCGTTAATTTCGTTTCTTCTCACTCAAGGTCAATCAATTATTATTTTTTTGTCAAAAATTGTTGTTGTAAAATCAATAGCTTTCGTTTTATAATTATTTATAATCGAGGGTTGGTCAATTTTTATTGCAGATGGACTTGAAAAACGATTGAGAATAATTTTAGATGACTTGATGGGTCCTAGTCATAGTTCAGCTTCAAAGAGTACGTGGGACCCAATGATTCTTGGCACGAGAAAACACAAACTTCTCAGTGATGCCCTGAAAATCATCGGTGGTCATCTCAGATGGCAGAGATTATACCTAGAGTACTCCGAACAATTAGCAACGCTCAAGCCCCCAAATTAGGCTCACAGGATTATTCTATATTAACTGGAAGTAAAACGAAAATTCAACTATTTTTTGCTACCATTGTACCATACATTTTCTACAGAAAGGAAGGAACATGAAAAAGACTGTACAAATTTTTTTTTTCTTTTTTTTTTCATTCCGTGTAATAATTAAATTATTGTATAGCATTTTGCTGTAAAATATGTATGTTTTATTTTTCGTCTTGAAAAGAAATTATGTGAAGATTAATTAAAAAATTAAATTCTGTAATGAAAACTGAGGGTTTTTTATTTATGAATGATTTGAGGAAAGTATAGAATTCAAATGAAAGGGTTTTTTTGTGTTTTGTACTGGGGAGTAAGAAATAAAATTACTCCCATTAATCTTCATAGCAATATATTATAATAATATCCAAGTATAAGCTCTTTCTTATAAAAATACATAATCAAGCTCACTGTGCATAAAGCGATAATATCTCCATTAGAAAGCGTAACTATTCGGCAATAAGTCGTTTATTCCTCAATATTTCCCGCAACGGGAGCAATCCTAACGTTTTTTTTTTATTGATTCGAAATCGTTCGAAAATTCGTTTCGATAGATTCGGTTACCCATCACTGAATAGCACCAGTAGAAAATCATGGAGTGAACAACTTTTGGGTCAATCACAAGTAAATAGTTTTCCAGAGAAAACCGAAAAAATCTTTTAGTTAATCATGTGCACAACAACAAAGACCACAATATACAAAATAATTGAATAAATTAAGGGACATTCTGGTATTCACGAACTCTCGAGCTTTCCACATTTTTTTTTTTCGTTCAGTGGAGTATTGATATTTACATTTGGAGGAATTGACATTTCGTCAAAGTAAATAATTATGTATGAAAAATAATTAATACTTTCTGATTGAATTGCATCTGGAGGAATTCTTGATTTCTCACGGTTTTGGATTCTCGGAATTACAGGGGTGGCGGGCCGTTTGGATAGTCCACTACAGGTGTAAATGTTCTTGCAAAGTTGTTAGATAGCATACAGCTGTAATCGTCTTCGGCAGCGGGTACCAACGAAGCAACGCCAAGCAAAAGTAGCATCAATGCTTGGATCGGTAGGGAAGCCCTTAATACACGGCCTAAGAAACGGTATCCACGAACCAATACCGTACGATCTCGTTCGTCACCACTGAAACATAATTATTCCACTAATTAAATCTAATTCATAAAATATCCTCAAAATTGTTAATTAAAATCCTAAAATTACTTCTGCCAAGAATTCACTTCAATTGGTGGATTCTTCTGTATTCAGTGAATTTCTTTTACAAAAGTAATTATTTTTGGGACAGCAATTAATTATCCAGCGATTTTTATTGAATTGATCCGGGCATCGGGGGAATTGGATTTTTTTTTAGTGATTACGTGTGAAGAGAGAAATTAAAAATAAAACATACTCAATTGAAGATGCGTCGTGGGGCTGGCCTGAGGACGTTGAAGCTCCATCGAGAAGCTGTAATCGAGTCAAAGAAAAAACACAAACTATAAGGTACTGTGCAATGTGAGGTGTTTAACTACTTAAATACCTTAAGGCTAGAAATTCTGACGTTGGGATACGAGAGTTCATTTTTCAATCAACTCTAAAACCATAAAATAATAATAATAATAATAAAACTGGAATTTCCACCGTAGATAAATTTACAGATTTATAAATTTTGAATTCCTCTCTAATATTCCAACATCGTGGTCTCCAATAAGTGCGCTACTACCTAAATGCACCTTAAAGTACTATAAAATAAAATATTAAATAAATAAAATAAAAAATCATCACTCACATCTTGAGAAAGAGTAGCCAGTGACGACGTAGTGGCTGCAAGTCCCACCTCCTTGGGATCCAGCCCCAATGCAGCGCCCAATTTGAGAGCATAAATTCCAGTGAGTCTCCTCAAGGACTGGAGCCTGAGCCTGAGCTCCTGGAGTCGACTCCTGGTGTCAACATGCTCCTCCAACAGCTGATTGGCAGCCTCCTGGAGAGAGAGAACTCTTGGTTCACACCTCTCCAAATCACTCCTCAATTCCTTAAACTTCTCATACTTCGATCTGATGATATTGGTGTTCTCAGTCAAATCAATGGGTTCGGAAGCACGAATTGATGCCTCTGTCTTCTCCAACCAGCATACGAGTTCGTCTACAATTTTGTGGAACTGCTGATTGCCCATTAAGGCACCCTGAAGGGCCTCCTGCCACTTGGCTGCACTCTGGCAGACCTTCTCCCACCTTGAATTGGCAACTGCCAATCGATTTCTCAACTCCTCTGCCCTCTCCACGTCCTCTGTGTGATCAGCCAGGTGTGTCCCCACAATATTTAGACTCACTACTATACTCTTGTGACTGTCCAGATCCAGCAGGAACTCCCTGTGATCCTGGATTATGTCCTCCAGCTCCTCAATGTTACCTGGTGGCGAATGCTGTTCACTCTGAGTGCCTTCTGCATATTCCAACCATTTCTCCAATCGCCAGAGATCGATGTCCAGCTGCGCCCAATTACGTCGACAGCAGAGGGGACAGGTCAATCTTCCCCCATCACTTTTAATTAAAATTCATCATTATACCCAAATAATTGACTAAAAAATAATTATTAATTTCTCATTGAACTTCATTCTCTTCAATTAATTCCTCTCAAATTCGTATACAATTTAATTCTCAATGCAGCAGTTGAAAAAGGGTCAGTTTTTGAGAAACAGAAAATGTTAATTGAAATTAGAATAGTTAATAAGGATAAACACTCACTGTTCACATGGCATTGTGTAAGAATCGACAATTGGCGACCTGTCAGAGGATAGCAGAACGAGAAGTATTAGTATCAAGACAAAAATCCAGATCTCCCTAAGTGACAATGACAATTCTCACCAATCGAGTTTTATGTTCACTCATCAATCCTCGAAATCGAAAAGAAAAAGAAAAAAATTCCCAGAACAATTGAAAAGACTCACCTGATATCCCTGATCTGCTGCTCCCTCTCTCTGGCCCTCTTCAGGAGCTCACTGTACCTCATTCCCAGCGCCTCGACTTCCCTCCCCCTGGCAGTCTCATGATCGAATTTATCATCCTGAACGAGAAGTCCATGCAAATGCCTAGCAAGTTCGACAGATGACTGACAGCTTGCGATGAGTTTTCCAATATTTTTTCCAGCAGCAGCCAATCCAGGCCCAGCCACAGGTTCCACAGCCACAGCATCTTCGAGGCCCTCAATGGCGCCCCTGCACTCGTCAATAGCTGCCTCAAGCTCCATCAAATAAGCGTCACAGGATGTCATTCTGATGAGTCTGGGAAGAGTATCAACCTGGACTGCTGAGTCCTGCTCGAACTTAAGAGTCTCCACCTGCACAGCCTCATCAACTTCACCCCTGTCGGTCTCCAGTTCGCTCTTGAGTCTGAGAACTCGACTCTTGATATCCTGCCACAATAGCTGATACTCATCGACGAGCTCCTGGACCGCCTGCACGTCCTCAGGATGACAGTCCCTCATAACACCAAGTGCCAGCTGATCAGCCCTTTCCAGAGTTCCACTCATAACTTCCAACTCCCTCTCAATCTCCCCCACCTCTCCCAGTCTTCTCCTGGAATTGCTCATTTGATCGCTCATGAGATGCTGTACCTGCGTCAATCTCACGTCAATCTGCGTCAGTCCAACGACAGCAGAGCCATGAGCTGTAATGAACTCTCGATACGCCTTCTGCTCTCTTTGGAGTGCACTGACAATTGCATTGCCCCTGGGCTTGAGTCCATGCCACCTGTCCAGGATTACCCTGACACCAGTCGTAAGATTTCTCAGATTCTCCGGTTCAATTCCCCCCTTCGCTAATCTACCGTAACTCTGCTCCAATATCTGGAGAGCAGGCCTGTGAGCATCGATGTCCTTGATAACTCTTCTGGCCCTGTTCATAGTCATCTCAGAGTCCTCTTTGGATACCTTGTCCAGTGTCTCCTCCATCGAGCTGAGCTCACCTTCGACCTCATCAATCCAAATCTTCTGGTCAATCTCAATTCTGTCCAAATCCTGGATAATCTTCCACGCACTCATAATCCTTCGTTTTTTCTCAGCAGATCTCACACAAGTCGCCTTCCACCTTTTTTCCAGCCCCTGCATGCCAGATTTAATGGCTTCAGTATTGAAAGACGTCTTCCAGGCATCGCAGTCACTCAAAAGAATCTCACAGAGATTAAATACTTCCCCGATATTTCCACTTTCAGCCTCGATGGTCTTTTGCAGGTGCTCGTGATCCTTTAATTTTTTATTTATGGTCTCCTGGGTTTTGGATTCAACGATGAAGGGCTCCGTCAATTGCATCTCGACTCTTCCAAGCCACGCCCTGATCTCAGCTATCCTCTTCTCCAAAGAATTCATCGTCTGCATGAGATCCACAAGTTTATTCGCCCTTGCTTTTCCAGCATTCATCAGTCTCCCCCAGCGATCAAGGACATCCTCCAGAGAGTTCTTGAGTTTCTCCCTCTCACCTGACTCCGCCATCTGCACGAGTTCTTCACCAGTCGACTGCAACCAGTCGAGCTCTCTCTGCTTCAAGGCCATCTCTGCATGAAGCTCTCCCTCGAGTCTTCTGAGTGCCTCTTCAGGTTCCTCCAACCCAGAGTCACAGCTGTGAATTCTAATCTCAGCATCCGTCAGCCATATCAAAAACCTGGACAATCTCTTCTCCCACTTTCCCCTCAGACCCACCCTTTCACCCAGCCTGTATGCCAGGAGTGCCAGCTGATGCTCAAGGTCACCATGCTGCTGCCACAGCAATGACACATGCTGATTGAGATTCTTCATGTCAGAGGGACTGAGACACTCCCTCAACTGCTCAGTGGTGACCCCCAGGTTCTCCAAATCCGTCGTCACATGAATGAGTTTCACCCTGAATTGACTCAGAGAATCCAACTGTTCCCTCGCCTGCAAAATACTTCCAGGCGCTGCATGAAAAGCTGAAGACAACGACTGACTTATCTCCATGAAGATCTTCGTGATAACAGACGTCTGCTCCACATGCTTGGCATTGAGATTCCTTATCCTGATGACAAAATCCTTCCACGTCTCAAGACTAGCACGAACATTGTTTACCCTCTGGACATTAGCTGCGTGTTCCATCCTCACAGAGACAGCCAGGGCTTCCTCACAATCAGCGAGAAGTGCCTCCTGCTGATCTGAGAGTGAATCCACCTGGGACTCGCCACCTGGTAGCCGCTCAATGAGAGCCTCAATTTTTGTTATGATTTTGTCGAGCCGTCGCAGGTGAATAAATCGAAGCTGAAGACGACTCTTTTCTCGTTCGATGTCCTTCAACCAGGCGAGGAGTTTGTTGAGATCCTCTCTGTATTTGTCCCAGGCATCGAGTCTGTCTCGAACCGATGCATGTCTGTCCATGATCTTGGAGAGGGTTTCATTGTGGATATTCGTGAGGGCATTGAACTGTTCAGCCACTGACAAGTCACGACCCTTTTCAGCTCGAATCGAGAGGATGAGGTGTTGCTGATCGGTCAGAAGGTTCTTGTGAACCTCGCAGAGATTTCTGTGCTCCGACAGCCCGTTGTAATCACCCGGTGGATCACTCGATAGGAACTCCTGGACGTGGGACAGGTACTCCTGCCAGAGACGAAGAGCTGCTGATACATCCTCAGTCCTCACTAATCGAGCTGACAACCTGTGGTACTGCTGGAATGTCTCACGGAAAACCCTCTGCCACAGCTGGAGCACCTCAACCACTGACGGCTCCTGGGCTATCTCCAGGGTCCGCTCCTTTATCGACTGCAACTGGGGCTCCGTCTTCGTCAACGCCAACAGGTGCTTCCTCAGTATATTCAGCTGCTCCTTGGACTCACCTTGTGGAATTGTCGTCAGACTCTGAAATTCAATGTCTCAGTTGATCGAAGATTCCACAATTCCACAATGTCATTTTCCATTCCTTAAATTTCAATCGATCATTCCACGGACGTCCCGAGAAAATTGTTTCCTCGATTTAACCCACCCCAAATACCTATAGATTCTCACTAAAGTTGAATTGTTTCACGTGCATTTAAATTTAATCGTCGAATTTATCAGTACTACAATCCCAGAAACTCCGGAGGAAACAGCGGATCACTAGACTTGAAAAGTTTCACCACTGGAGTTGTAGCAAACACGTGGAGTAAATAGACGAATACCAATGGAGAAAGGGTGAAAGGGGAAGGGGGTATGTACATTTGCTCATTGAAGCCACTTTGAGGTGTTTAGGGAGGTGTTTCGTGACCTGTGTAAATTGGTGTGTGAGACTGAATTTTGGGGCTCAGCCCCTCACACCGACCTTGACACAACAAATTGTTTCGAAACTACAATTAAAATATATGTATGAGGGAATTTGTACCGAGTACGAAGGATGATTGAGCAGTGCCAAGCACAATTTTCCCTTCGAAATATTTAATAAGATAAAATAGAGAGTAATTATTTATCTATTGAAAGTTTTTTATGTTGATCAACGATTATTATTATTTACCTGCTGAACAGAATCCAAGAAGTTCTTGGTCTGGCAGAGATCTCCACGTGCTAGCTCTTTATTGAGTGCCCTAGCATCAGCAGTATCAGCAAGAGTGGATAGTGTCTCTCTGACATCTTCCAGTCTTCTTCCCAGTGCCTCGACCTCGCTGTGAAGTGGTCCATCACCATCGAGACCAACATCAGATGCTATTTGTGCCACCAAACCCCTCAACTCTGCAAGTCTCTCTTTGTGATCGGCGAGGGTTTCCTCGCAGACCTGCAGGTTTGCGTTAAAAAATCATTGAAAATGGAGAAACAGACAGGCGTCATTTAGCTTCGATGGTGGATTGTTATTTTTAGATCTCGAGGAATTTTACTGTACCGTCTCCTCATGGGGTATAATTCATCCCCAAAACCGCGTGGCTTTCCCCCTCTTTATTCGCTTCTAATTCCATCCACCGAGTGTTCCAATGTTTTTGCATACTTCCGCCTTGGAATTTTCAGGGATCAACGAAATTATTCAATTTATTTCCATTATTATGATTTTTTAATTATTTCAGTAATAATTTCCCAGTAATAATTTCCAAAAATCCATTTATTGGAAATTAATCCAATTTTTTCGTTCGCCCGACAATTCGATTTCGATTAATTGATTCATTACTTCTCATATTATTTAAAAAATTATACGAATGGAGAATTCAAATGGAAATGATTTTTTTTAATTTCATTTCATTTTTAATTATTATTTGAAGATTATATTAGCAATTCAACAATTGCGGATTGAATAAAAAATGATGTACCGTGAATAAATAAATTCTTACCCACATATCCCTCGAAATCCGGTATTATCTTCCCTCGAACCCGATACCCGCGGGTTTTAATGCGATTACGAATTTTATCGGCTTCAGATGCCCCATGAGATGTCAAAAAAGCCCCTCCGAGTAATTCAGACCTATTTTTTTTTGGCAATCAGACAATTTCGCCGTCGATTCCAGCGTAAAACATCTCACTGGTGACCTAAATAATCTCCCGGCTCTTTTTACTTATAAATAAATCCCCGGCGGCCTCCAAACGTCAAAGAAAACAAATTCAATTCATGGAACTAGCGCATTAATAATTCTAAGACGCAATAAATTGAATACCTTCAATTCCTCGGGTGTACACATCGTGACAAGCGTCAACCCTCAAATTATTCACTCAATTTTAATCCAATTTCCATTTTTCAGACGAAAATATTCCGCACATGTTGCAAGATAAAAATTCACGCCGACTCTGTTGGCCACTTTATCCCACAACTAAACACGTGCGCAACAAATTAACTATCCGATCTATTCAAGATCTATTCAAGATCTATTCACGATCTATTCACCAGATCAATTCCCTCGGTCAATCCTCTGAATTATTCCCCTCCAAAAAAATCCACTGGCACTAAAAATTCTTTAAAATCCATTTTCAATTATCGAATGTCCGATCATCCCCTACGATTTTTTAAAATAAGAAAACTAAATTAAATTTCATCGCACCGGAAAATTCCAGCGATTCGATCAGTCAATTAATTAATCTCTTTAATTGACATTGAAAAAACTACTGTTGTCATCGCGAGAGAAAATTATTTCTGATGCTGCGCGTCTGGTCGTGGACCGTCGACTGGCGTCTGCGAGAGCGAGGGATCGATGAGTTCCCCCTCGACGTTTTCTACGTCAACGAGTGAGATAAAGAGATAAAGGGGATGGTGGAGAGGGAGGGGTAAAGAAGAGGGTAATAAAGTGCAGAGCACCGCACCCTCGTTGCAACATGGCACGAGGGGGTGAATCCCACCCCAAATGGTGTCGGTGACTCCTGGTGACACGTGTCACGAGGAAAAGGAAAATGCATCTGCTCTCTAAAAAATAATTACTTCTGCTTCTCAATTAAAATTCCCTGATTGCCTGGAAATGCTTTTCCCGTGCCTAATAAATTTAGAGTCATTTAGTGATTATTTAGAAGGGATTTTTCATTTTCGAGATTCAACGAATTTTTAAGTTTTCCAAAAATTCATGAAATTGGAAAAATCCCAGGAGTTGTCGGGGTCGGAGGATTCCATTAGTTCCTGAAGCTCTTGGAGCTCCAGGAGGTCCAGGGGTTGCGTGGGGTTGAGATGACAATTTTTTTAATTGAAGAATTGGAGAATTACCTTGACTTGCTTAATTGCCTCTTCAGGTGGTAAATTGGTGACACTTCCCATTTGTGTATCGACAAAGTCCTTGACAGCAGCACTTGCCTCTCGGTATTGCTCCCAGAGTCTCACTGCACGTTGATACTTCGTGCAGAGTGCATCCAATTCAGCTCTTGTGTCCTCCCAGGCTTGGACAGCTTCATTCACTGCTGCATCAACCCTCTCACCGACCTCTGGGGTGCAGCTCTCCCGGAGGGGCTCAGCTGCCTCACCAAGTTCTCCAATGAGCACCTCACGAGCACCCAAATCACCATTCAATCCCTATTTTCCAATAAAAAATCAGAGAAAACCAATTAAACAAAACAAATTATTCACCTTATAATGCACAAGTCACCGAAATAATATCGTAACAGATCCTAATTTATTTATATTTTTAGAAAACAATTGTTGCTAGCAGTTTCACTGTGTGAAAATTGGTCTCTGTAATGAGGTAATGGAATTAGTCATTATCTCGAAATTTTACCGGATCGATGGGCGAAAATTGGTGGCAAAATTGCACGGCATTATTTCACCGTGATTTTCGCAATTGAAATGATTTAACGTTCGCACGCCATTGCGTATTTATTACGATGCGCATATTATTATCAGGAGAATTTCCCGATCTATTTCCCTTCGCCCCGTTTTTCACCGGTCAATATCCATTTTCCTCGAAAAATGCTAGTGAGTGGGAAAATCGATTCGATAATTCGACTGAGAAATTTCCATGACCTTTATCACAATTATTTATTTAAAAACGTGGGAGCCGGATAATCCAACATTTCTGCATTTAAAATTCTGTGACGAATTATTTTCTTCTCACTTTATTATTAACCAAGAAAATAGCGGAATTACTGAATTAATTAATTAATTTAATTAATTAATTCAATTCAATCGATTTCTGTGGAAAATTGAAATTATCGTTTTTATGGGAATGAGAACACAAATTTCTCTGGTCTAAAAAATTGAACGGTTTAAAAATTCGATAGGTTTTTACGGTAACACTTCATGACTCGACAAAAGTATCGAGTATTTCCGGTTCTAACGGTATAATTGCGAGACAAACGCAAGTTGTCTATAAATACTTGTCTTCTGTCTTGTTCAGTGAATCCACGGGTCAGGTGCTGACCCATCTCAGCACTAAATCTGCATCATTGCATAAGTTCACTGTACTTTAACAACAAATCAATTTACGAACAATTACAGTTATCCTAAATTAAATCTCATCAAAGAGTCATTTCTCGCGTTAATTAATTCCTGCTATGTTTCCTGAGGGAAATTTTTGCCTGGCGTCATTTCTAAATGAAATTCTCCTGCGGGAATATTTTTGGAAATTGCTTTTTTTATTATAATTTATTAATTAGAATTTGAATTGTGTCGAGCGGGACTGGAATTCATGGGGATTTTTAACGTCTCGAGGTGAATGGATTCCTTTCGATAGCGACACGAATTTAATAATTTCCCGCTATTTTAAATAGTCATTTCCTCTGTTCAGTGAAAGAATAATAACTATTAAAAATTCTATGGGTGCGACGGATTCCCCCTTTAACCAGTGAAAACGGAAGTGCAAATGTCGCATTTCACTGGCGATTCACAATCGCAAATTCAAGGACGAACTCCATAAAATCCCCCTCCGTATAATTACAAACAAATGTAAAAATAAATATGACATGTGCATCACATGACAATCAAACAATTACGTAAATGTGTCGTTTAAATATCTCGTATCAATCTGCATTAATGAAAATTATCTAATTACTCGTCACTTGAAGACAGAAAAAATTCAGATATCAAATTCAAAATTTCATTATGAATTTTCGAAAATTATTGCAGATTTCATTAATTGAGGTCAATACAATTAATTAACGCGCTATAATCCGGAAATTATTGGAGAATTTCCTTGACAGGATTTGAAATTGATATTAAATATTAGAGAATAATTGTCGAGGTAATTAATGAATGCAAATTAATGTCAGTTCATCCGACAATTGAAGGTCATAAATCTTTGGATGGAATTTGGGGCAGGAATCGAGGCTATTCCATTAAAATTAAAAGCCGAGGTAGATAAAAAAAAGCCTAGTGCTTGAAATAATGAGTTTCAGTGCGGAAACGAGATTTCCGGAGTGAAGAAGAAGAATTTTCGTGATAGCATGACAGACACGTGGTGAAAAATTTCAAACTACTCATGAAACTTCACAATAAACCGTAAAAATCCAATTCACTATTTCTTGACGTAGAATTATGATCCTCTTCACGTTTTCACCTTGAGATTTGTTTCTTGAGGAATAGTTCGAGGTCATTTAACTCACGCATTAACATCACGTGTTTTTGTTGTCACTCGATCCAGAGGAAGATTCACTTGACGAATCAATGGACTAATTACGGACACTTTTCTGGGAATTGTTTAATTATTGCGTCAATGTATTGAACATATTTCAAATTATTTTCGTTCACCGACTCCTGGAGTTCTTGCAAATTCTGTGATGTATCCGTCAGTTATGGAGTTATTGAAATTATTTAAAATCAATCATTTTTCAGGAAAAGTTTGCAATTGATTGTAATAAATAGCAATAAATATTTTTACGAGGAAATCCCAATATTAATTCGTTATAAAACTATTTTCTGCTATTTTCTCTTGAATCTCGTCTTTTCAGTGAAATATTCTGGAATTTATTCAATGCAAAACATGTAATTTTCTATGTAATGATAAATTTCCGGATCTGCGCTAGAAAATTCCCTTCCCACACTAGACTATCTCTCAATATCTCTCATTTTTTTTTAAAACCCTGACTCTAAAATTAATAAACCACAAATTTTTCAGCACTCAATAAATTCCACATTATTGATCAATAAACATTAACTGCCATTGATTTACCTCTCACGATATTCAAATTTGAATTTAAATCGGGGACAGTTACATCCTGATTATTTGACCACTAAATATTTATCGCGATTGTCCACTTCTTATCACCGAGTTCTGTCATTCCGATAACGAGGAAATCAGTGTGACCCCTAGGACACGTCGTGGAATACTGATACGAAATTCCAAGTCTCGACGATAACAGAGTATTTATGCGCCTGCGCACAAGCCGAAGTTTAAACATGTAAATGACCCGCAAACATGTGTACATAGCTAATTAAATAATACAGTACACTCCGAGTGTTTTTCATATTTACCATAAAAAAAAATTGTCACATCTTTCGTAATCCTTTTAGCACATGTCTAGACAATTTTTCTTCCAAAATATTAAATTTCTCTCTCAATCAGAAGAACTCCAACAAAATTTCGCGTTCGCACAAAATTTCTCACGAAGCAATCACTCGTTATCTGAATTTTGTGAAATGATTTCAATCGAGTGATGATTAAAGAAATTAATTATCAAGATTACTCTTCAAGGAGACAGTGCCCTAATTTCAAGAGTTTTAATTGGTGCTCCGAATATTATCAATTATTGATAGACTCACCTCCAGCCTCTCCGTGGCCTTCAGCAATCTCTCGTAATCGACAGTTCCCTGAACAGTCAACAACTCCATCATGTAGTCAGCTTCCTGGACAGACTGCTGGACTAATTCCAGTTGTCTCTCAAATCTCCTCCAAAGGGCTAGTTTGTTCTTCAACAACGCGAGGAGTCTCGCACACCTGTACCAAAAAGAAAAAAAACAAAACGATAATCACAAATTATTCAATTATTAAATTGTAATTGATATTGTAATTCATTGCACCTGGACTCGAGCTCCGAGTGCACGTCCTGGAGATTCGAGATGTCCCTCTCGATTCCCACAGCCGATATGGAGACTCTCATACCTCCTGGAAGAGTATGCAAAAGCTGCCTGAGGGACATGATCTCCTTCCAGATAACCTCGAGTTCAGATCCAACTTGCTGACACCTGTCGACACCACCAGCGACAACATCACTTCCCTGGCTCTCGCAGCCCTCGCACTGGTCCAGAACGAGGGACTGCCTGGTATGCGCTTTCCTGACCCTCTGAAGACCCCTCTGCAGTGCCTTAAGACGTTCTCCCATCAACTGAGCAGCATCCACCTCTTCTCCAATCTGACTCTCAATTCTCCTAGCAGTTGCCAATAAAATTCCCACCCTCTCACTCTCAGCCGCTGGAAGCATTCCCAATCGTCCCAACTCATCCTGAATCAAGCAGACTCTCTCAAACATGACGGACAGCCTCTCCACGTACAACTCGAGCTCCTCCTCAGTCTTGAGAACCCCATGGAACCCATCGATCGTTACCCTGAGCTCATTGAGCTCTCGCTCCAGCAACCGAAGTTTCTCATCCACTGGAGTCTCCTCCGAGGATATCGTATCGGCTATCGATTTTTGGATGGAATTTATTCGATTGGCTATCGAGTGCCATCGATCCTGGAGCTCTCCCTGGAACTGACGTTGCACCATCTCATCGGCGAGGGGAATTATTCTCAGGGCTTGCTCGAAGCACACGTTCGATTCTGTTCTCATGTTGTTGTGCACTTCGTATTGAGCTTTCAATTCCCAGAATTGTCGCATCTGTCCTTCCCACTGATTCTGGACAGATCCAAGCTCTCGCTCAGCTCTGGCCATCCAGTTCTCCAGACGATTTACCAGTAATTCTCGATTGCACCAACTCTCCTTGAAACCCAAGAGATACCTCAGAGACGAGTCCACGTTATCCTGGAGTCTCGCTACAACATCCAGTGCATCAGAATACCGATCGTCTGGATCCTCGATGGTTATCAGCTCTTCAAGTCCACTCGCGATGTTCAGTAGTTGAATCAATCGAGCTTTATGCCCAGCGATATCTGACGATAGTGTCTGATAAAGAGAGATGTATTGATGATAATCCGAGGAAGTGACAGCACTCAAATCGGGCACTCTCTGATGGGCAACCCCCATCCAACCCCTCTCCTCCTTCACCCCCTGCTCCAGCATCATCCACCTGGAGGCAGCGAGTGCCATCTGTTGCGCCTTGGAAGCTGCTCGGTCCAGGAGATTATTCGCCCTCGTATGGAGCTCCTCGTGGAGTCCAGAGTGTTTTTCCCGTGTTTCAGGATCAAGATTGCCCTCGAGGCTCTCGAGAATTGCCCGACAATGATTAAGATTCACGAAGAACTTCCTGTGCTTCTGCATTTCCTCTCTGAGGTGCTCCAAACTGAGAACCGAGATGGGACCAGCGAGGAGTTCTTCAGCGACGTCTGTTATCTGGGCGAACTCCTGGAGCGTCTGTTCGTACTCCTCAGCGAGTGACAGCAGCTGAATCAATCGATCCCTTTCGAGATTGATACCATGCTCGATATCTTGGAGGATATCATGGGCCTCAAAGATCTCCTCTGGTATGATTTTTCCAGGATAATCCCTCATCATCCTCTTGGCAGCTGCCATAAGACTGCTAGTCCTCCACAAATGATTCCTGTTTATGTTCTCCAATCTGTCGAGTTCCTGAAGCTTCCAGATTGTGGACCCCACCTCCTGGACAATTCCATCGAACTCCTCCTGATGTTCCCTCACCAATTTCATCATTGTCTCCACTCCATTCAGGAATTCCTCCCACCTAGAGAGCTCAGAGCTCGTGAGCCTCTCCTCGTCCATCACCACATGCTCAATGGCCTTCACCTGACTCTCTAATGCCTCCACACACTCTCTGATCCTCTCCCTCTCCTCCTCCGGATAATTCGGCTCGACTCTCCTCAGCATCCGATCCAACTGCCTCAAGGAATCGTCAACCTGATGGACTTCATCCTGCAATTCCTTGATTTTTCTGTCGTCATTGGTGCCCCCACCCGTATTTCTCCCCAAGAACACTCGGTACTCGATCGTCTCCAGCCACGTGGAGATGATCTCGATGATCGTGACAATCGTCTCCTCGACGACCACAATATTTTCCTCATCAACAGCTGTTTCCAGGTGCGTCAGCTGATTCTGAACGTCAGGCACACATGATTCCCCAGAGACATCCTCGAGACCAGCCATGTGAAGGATATTACCCAGAAAACTCGTGTGTTTTGCATTCTGGAGATTATTCAGACGATCTGACATCATCCGGGTGATCTGCGTTCGTCGAGCGATCTGAGGTCTGAATGCCTGAACTGCCTCCAGGACATCCTCTCTCTCTAGGACCGATTCCATGGGAGAAATCGGCTCCTCCGACGTGTCCATCGGCTCCTCCGGTGTCTCCATGCTAATTTCTCCTGGTAAGACGCCCCTGGCATTCATCTCAGTCATCCCCATCGTCACCTGAACTCTGTCCCCACCTGGAGCCCTTCCAATCAGTGTCTCTCGTATTCTCAACTCTTCCCCATTCCCCGGGTCCTCAAACTCTACTCTAAGACCGATCTCCTTCGATCTCTTCTCTCGCTTCTGGTACTGCTCGTATCCTTTCAGTTTCAAATCCGAGGAGATGATCCCCACGACATCCTCTTCAGGCTCCGAATCGTGAGAGCCTTTTCGCGCTACGTCCGAGTACGAAAGCTTCATTTCAGTCGTTCCTGATGACATCGCCTGTCCAAAAATTGACTCAAGGTCTTTCGGCTTTGAATCATGAATTTCCTCGGCTCTTGGTGGTTTTGATTTTTTCTTCTTTTTCTTGCGCTTCCGGAATTTCTCCTCGGTATCGATCGACACGGGTTCACTGAATTCATCGGTAATTGTCGTATCGTGAGTCGTATCAGTTGATTCACTTGGATAAGAGCTAAGATCGATGGTTGCATGCACGTGAATCTCCAGGGATGTCTCGGTGGAGTTTTTTTCTGATGGAACTGGGGTAGGGATCAACGGTTTGCCCTTTTGCGATGATTCCGGATCTTCTTTTTCAATTGGTTCCTCAATCGGCTCCTCTTTAGTGGCAATTACGTCAGGGGATTGCTCTGTTGGAGAAATTAATGGAATTGCTGAAGAATCTGCTGGAGAGCCCTCAGGTATCGGTGAAATGCCTCTATCAATTCCCAAATTCTTGGCTTCAGGCATTGTAAAATTGTCAGTTAAATCGACAGTCACCTGCTGTGACACCGAGATCTTCTCAGTGTCTTCAACGACTCCACGAATTTCCTCCTCAGGGTTATCCTCAGATGTCTGGAGACTTATCTCTGCTGTTTCCGGTATTATCTGAATGCTCTCTTCCTTCGTGAGGATCAGTTCTCCTCTCTCGATTTGAATTAATGAATCCGCCGTTTCTTTGGGTTCGGGACTCAAGGTCTGCACCTCCTCCTCAGCTGTTATAACTTTTACCTCCAGACTCGTCTGTTCACTCGGATTAATTATCTCCAGGGGGAATTCTAATCCCTGAATCTCTGGTTCAGGACTCGTTTGTATCACTGACTCGACCATTGGCTCTGGACTTTTAGTTTGAACTTCGATTTCCTGGTGGGAGATGCGCGGTGTATCTTCGGGACTAGTTTGCGTTTCCATGGTTGCAACAACAATTGGTTCGATCAAATTGGCTGGCACCTGGTGTTGGGTATCAGGTGCCACCGAAATTGTTTGTACGTCCACTTCAGTGGTCTCCGGGGTAGAAGTTTGCATGGACGTGTCCTCCAGATTAAATCCAGGTGTATCCTCGCGAGGAGGGGTTGTCTGCTGTTCTGCATCGAGTAATTCCTTCAGAGGTGCATCCGTATCCGGAGATGTCTGGGTATCAATTTCCGTCATTATAACCTCGACCGGAGATGTCTGGATGCCCGAGGTGTTGACCTCGACTGTCGTCTGCACTTCTATCTCCCCAGTCTCCTTTTCTGGATGAACTTCCACCTGATCCATCCCTCGTTCCATCGCTATTGGACTCGTCTGGACACTTCCCTCTTCCCTCGGAGTTGGCTCTGGTGTCATTGTCTGAATAGAACACTCTTCTCTCTCTGAAATCCTCAAAACTTCTGTGGTCTGAATTCCAGAGTCCAGAACTGGCGTGGGAGATGTCTGAATCTCTGTGTGAACTTCTTCCTTTCGGATCTGCCTGTCCTCGAGAATTACCTCTGGAATTTCTTCAGGGATTTCTTCAGGGATTTCTTCAGGGACTTCCTCAGGAGCTATGGACACGTCCCTAGTCTCCAGGACCGTCTGAGTATCGACTTCGACCGCCGAAGAAATAATCCTAGATCTCTTCTCCTCATCATCCACCATTTCCCTATCCTTCAGCCTCTTCTTCTTCTTCTTCTTCTTTTTACTCCTATCCTCGTGGGTCAATGACACCTCCTCCACAGTCGTCGTACCCTCCGGTTCGTATCCGATCTCCAGGGTATCCTCTTGATGACTGGATAACGTCAGAGATGTTTCCGTGAGCTCTAGAACATCGGGTTGAGGTTGTTCGCTCGGTTGCCTAGGTGATTCCGATAAAGGAAGATTTATATCCGTGGATTCACCTAAAGTCGTTGCGATCGAAGTGTCCGACTCAGACGCCTTCTCCAAGGACTCTCCACGTTTCTTCTTTTTTCTACTCTTTCTACTCGCTGTCGTCTCCGATTCACTCTTTCCAACCTGATCCACTGGGGGTCCAGCCCTCTCGGTGATGACGTTGTAAATTGTCTCAGTCTCCGGTAATTCCATTTTAATTTCTTCCTTCGTAATGAGATACTCGTCCTCTGGACGTTCTGCCGTAGTCCGGAGTGACACAGAGGCCTCAGGACTCTCCGATTCTTTCTTGATCGACAGAGAAATCTCAACCCTTTCGACGACAGATTTTTCTGCCTCCTGGGGATGACCTTCAGGCTTGATTGCTGTATCTTTAATCTTTTCTTCGATAATCCGATGGACATCACCTGGTGGACTTTGTGATCCCTCGTGTGCTGGCTCCTCCCACAGATTTTCCGATTGTCCCGTGGCCCCTGGATCTCGTTCATCCCCTCTGGACTCATCCTCTGGGACAATTAAACCGATCACATCAACAGATTCTACGGTGATGCTACTCTGGTGCTTAGCTACATCTAACGTGCCAGTCTCTACTTCGATACCCGGTGTTTCGATCTTTACTGGTGCATCGAATGACTTACAAGTGGACTCTGGGTGTTGCTCATCTTCAGGGGCATCTGTATTATCGAGCCTCTCGGGTTGTCCTGAGGATTCAGGGCTCTGCAAAATAGCGGAGCGTTCAGAATCGATCAAGGATTGGGTCAAGGCGCCAATGGGATCAATTGAATCAATTACCTCAATTGATTTAGGGTCACCTCCAAAGGACTCAGACTCCTTTATTATTTCCTCATCTCTCACTTCCTCAGTCCCCCCTGGGGGAGAACTCCGCGGTTCTTCTCCAATTACTGCCGATATTTCTTCCGTTTCTTCTATTTTCACTTTATCCGTCGGTTCCACTCCAGAGGATTGTATTTTTTCTTCAACTTGTGACTCTTCAATCAATTCATCTTCCATTTTTTCGGCTTCAGGTTTGACTTCTTGTACATCATCCTCTGGACGTGATTCAGGCGCAAATAATTCTTCTCCCTGTACATCATCTCCTGGGAGAGTCTTCTCCTCTTTCATGACGTTGATACTGATGTACGGAATGTCCTGATCATCGATTTCCACCTCTTCAGGTTCTTCAATAACTTCTTCAGAGGTCGTCTCCTTTCCATCGATAATCGTCACCTTCCGAATAATTCTTCTCGTCTTCTTAATGACTCTTCTGGTGACTTGCTGGACCAGGGCGTGAACAGTTGAGGTTTTCGTTTGGTACTCCCCGGGGGAGGGCAGCCCCTCGGGTCCGATGTCCTCCAGTTCTCCCCGGATGACAGATTGACTGAATTGAGGCTCGGTCTCGAATTCCTGGGCAGCTCCAGTCGTCACTTTTCCACCGTACGTCTTCTTCGTGGATATCTCAAGGTCGCCATCTGGTGTCACTCGACTCAGGGTGATTTGTTGGCCTCTCATCGTAGCTTCTGAAAATGTCTTGACTCCACCTGACACCTGATGAGTTCTCTTCAATTTTCGCACGATTATTCTCCTCGTGCCATCGGCGTCGACGACAACTTCAGTTGTCACGTCATCAGGCTCCACGACGACTGTCTCAAATGCCTGAGGTGGTGCATGCTGAATATTCAATTCAGAAGTCGCTGATTGCTCCTGCTTGGCGTCCTGATACTTCATGTCCACCACCAGATCCTTCCTCTCGACTCTCGATGTAATATTCCTCGTGGCGATCTCCAGGACGTCGTGAGTATCATCAGCTGTTTTTCGGACCTTTATACTCTCCTGGACTTCAGGCCCTTGGCCGATGATCTGAGAGGTTGACGTCTCCTTCGTCAGCTGAGCTGGTGCCTCACCTGCGAGGCTCTGACCTGTTTGCAAGGAGACGTCAGCCCAGGACGGCGAGTCCTGGATCGACGGGGCCTGATCTATCGTCGCGTCCTCGTTGTCGAGGAGTTCGCCCTCCAGTTCCTGGAAAAATGAAGGGCTTTAGGGGCTTTAGGGGCTTCATCATCTTGAAATGATGAAGTGATCATAGAGAATTGATAAAAAATTTTGGATTTTCGAAATATCTTCACCAAAAATCGAGAATCTTTCATTTTCTTTTATTTCACATGTCTCAGATGATGCAGATGGTGAATTTATGTGCATTTGATAGATAAAAAATGACGAAGCCTTTATTAATAATTGCAATTGTTAGATAATTAATGGCGCATTTGGTGAATGACAAAATCATGGAGTTTTAAAAAATAATATTATCGTGGGAGATGACAACGAGTCGATGAATGACACAGAAAATCGCACAGTAATGAAGAAATAAAAATAGGGATAAACGATAATATTTTAATAATAATTACAATAAATGTAAACAATCCTAGTTACATGCGAAAATTCTACATTAAATGTCTACACCTTACGCTAAACAACAATTGAACAAATAAAAGAGAACATCTGATTGAAACATTAAATAAAATTACACCACGATAAAAACAAAATACAAAGTTGGACTGTAAAAATTGCAGATTTACCCAGGGGAAGAATAAAATTGGATAAATTAACAGAGTAATTAAACAGTTAAAATTCAATACACCATTTGCCACAGGAGATGATGAAAACCTAAATGATATGAAGCAGAAGATGGATGTCTCCTAAATTCTGTAGAAGTACGAGAAATGTCAAGTCTCCACAGTATTTTGCACTAGAAAAATACGAGAGATTGATTTTCTTATTTTATTTCCCCCCAATTAATCAATATATCGATATCAATGAATATCTAAGCGAATCCCTGAACCGATGTGCGATGATTAATGAACAGTGCGTAAGCCCCAGTGATCTTGTAAGTCTCGTGTACCTTCTGCCTTTCAAATATTTTATTCTTCATCTCCATGAGGGCATCCCTCAGTCCTTTTGCCAGTGCATTAACTTCCGGAAGAGTTTCCAGTTTAGATACTCGATCTGCTTTGCTCGTTAATTCGTCCTGAAGTGCCTGAAACCGTGATGAATCCAATGGAACAGTAATTAAGTAATTAAATCCCTGAGACGTGATAAAAAATTATTAAAAAGGTAATTAATTATCAATTTTTAAACCTTGTACGACTCAAACGTGTGTCTTTGACTGAATGACATTATCAGTGCTCTCAACCAGACGTCAGTCTCATCCAGAAATTTTTTATACTGGAGAACTTCCTCCTCTCTTCTTGCCTGATCCACCTGTGCCCTCTCCAGGGTCATCCTCCCCTGGTCCACCTGAGACAGCAGAGCAACAATTCTCGTGCGAATTCCAGCCAACAGAGCGGCAAGTTCCTGGGTATTAGCACTCGGATGGACCTTGCTGAGTTCCTCCTGGAGCTTCGTACCAACTTGATCGTGAATCTGAAGATCTCCCTGAATACTCTGTCGATGAATAAAAATAATATCAATGACTTTCCAATTCCTGGAGTTAATCACAACATTCTGGTGGAAATTGGAGTCATACCACGAGTGTCAACAGCATCTTCTCCAGGCTATCCCTCGGTAAATTTCCGAGTGTCTCTTCCAATCCGTTAACAGCCACCCTGAGATCACGAATATCACCCTCCAACGACTCCTGCAATTCCACACCACCAATTAAAAATCAAGTATCATCACCGATCGATGGAATTCCACAAATAAAATCACGTGCATGTCGCAAAAAAATCTCCTGTACAAGTCCAGGCGACGGATTGATTAATTAATTAGGCTTGAGACAACAATTATATATTGATCACCAACAAAACCTGCGAAAAAACACAAAATACCGAGATGTTTTATTCCCTGACAATGATGACACGACCCATCAGCGTCCAGTGTGTCTTTACTCGCGTCTTCCGGACACATTTTATCAATAAATTAATTCGTTAGCAATGTGGACGCGGATAAGTCCCAGATTAATGACCGGATCATGCAGACTTGATCCTCCAAACGATTAATAAATCTACAGGGACCAGGAGCCATGTTATTAGTGGATATCGAGCAAATGCAGGCTGATGACGAGTGTAATGATGAGATATGATAAAATCAATGGCAGACAAAGCCTAGAAAATCCAAAAATAATAAAAAATAATAAACAATTAAACCACAAATTAATGCAACAAGACCGATCACTTGCGGTCGCACCTTGAACCCAAGATTTCCATTAGTCAAGCTCTCCATCTTCATCTCGATATCATCAGCTGACAGCTTCAATGAATTCCCTGATTCCCCTGATTGTCTACCTAAATGTGTGGAGTGTGGAGAGGAATTTTTGGAATGGGATACCATAGATTCAGTGATAAGAGATACAGAAGCAACGTAATACGTTTGATCGTTATCATCGCGATTTGAATAATCATTGCTATCGAATTTACGTGGATCCAATCGCGTGGTGTCGTTATCGATTGATAAATACGTGCTGTAATCGTTCCAGCTGCACATACCACCCGGCAAATCCGCGACAAGTTTTTCAGTAAATGGTAATGACGATGTGTTATGTGGGTTAATAGAGTCTCTGTGACCACCACCATTGCCCGAATTCCCGTGAGAGTCGTCATCATCGCGATTTGATTTATCTAAGGGTGCTGAGACCTTTTGCTTTGATTTTGATGAGATACTCTCGAAGAAGTCCCTCTCGGCTGTGTGGTACTGGTGTTTGTTCCACCAGAATGTGTCCATGGATAATTCTGAGATGTTTGACGATTCTCCAGGTGCTGGAACTTTATCTTCTCCAGTTTCACCCCTGCCCTGGGCTATCTCCAGGATCTTCAGGGGTTTATCCGCCCTCGGGCTGTGGCTGATCACCACGATGTCGTCCTCGTCGATGTAGAATTGAACTTTCGCTGGGGTATTCTCACAGATTTCCACTGGTGACGCGCCAGATTGAGATTGAAGATCTGATGAGGCTTTTGCTTTTGGTAGGGGACACTTTGGAGGCACCTGGGGGATGTTCTCGGGGGTTATCGGCGGAATTATTATTATTTCCTCGAATATTTCCGGCTCTTTGTCGATCAGGCAAAATCCTGCGGCTTTAATATCATCGGGGGTCGGGGGTTCTGTTGATTCCTCCAGTTTATTCTCCCTTTCTATTTTTATTTTAAGAGATTTCTCAATTTCCTGAGTGATTGGTAATTCCGCAGGTTCGATTGCCCCGGGAGTTTCAGGTTTCCATGATTTCAAGTCGATCGATTGATTCTCAGGG